GAAAGTGATGACTTTTGGGACATCCCGTATTTCACAACAGTTGGAGCTGTAGGCTCATAACTGGAACTTGGCAGCATTTAGGAAGCTCTGTATGTATTCTCTTTCCCTTCGTTTTCTGAACAGTGATATAACAACTGTTAATTGAAGGGTTGGGGGTTAGTTTTGCCCTGCTGGCAAAGAAAGTGGAGTTATTTTTGCAGGAGAAAGTAGTCTGGTGGATCCATTTCGTTGCATATTTCCAAAACTGACATTTTGCACCAGAAACGAGCAACTTTATCCTCCCTCCGTGGCTAAATCTGAATGTTTTGGAAGGCAATGCATATCCCTCAAGTGCAGTTGAATGTTATTTCGGGGTTAGCAGAATAGTTGAAGTTTGAATTCTTTACACTTAGAGCTACAGTTCTGTGATGAAACTCTCTTCAGTACTGTCCTTAGACTAATCCCATCATTTTGTAATTTGTTAACAGAATTGTGTAATTTAAAAAAAAAAAAAAAAAAAAAGGAAAATGAGAAGGTATTTCCTTCATCATTCTGCAGTGGTTATTGCATACTTTTCATGGCTAAGAAACCTATTGATCAAAGTTGCGATGTTTATAGCCATTTTTGCCAAGTAATTTGGCACAGAAATGAGCAGGGCAGCGAAATGGAAGTTGTAATGCTTTGGGGAAGAACCTGTTCATTCCTGTTGTCAAAAGGGAATGTGGCTGCTTTAATCAAATTGAAGGGCTTTGAAGATACAGAGAACTCTCAAAATATGAAGTGATATTAATACGCACGTTTACTGAATTACAGACAAGACTGCTTTCTGGGAAGAAAAGCGGAATTGTGTGTTTATAGATTTCAGGAATGCTGTGCAGTACTTCATGTAACAAGTGTGTAAACGCTCCGTTGGTAAATGCTTATATTGGCTCATCATTTTTGGACCCTTGGTGATGATTATTTTACGGCGCCTTTTGGATGACGAGGCTGAGACCAGAAAAGGCATTTGTATTTCTTTTCATCCATTTTCTTTAGATGGAGAAGTACCGTATTTGTACTAAGGTCTCTTTGAAATTTGGAGGTTTGGGAAGTTTGTTAACATTTTGGCTGTAGCCTGCTGTCTTCAGCACGTTTTAGAAACTGATGAATATTTCGGTTTGCTCTGAGGATTCATCTGGGAATGGAATCTCAGACAGAGGGCTTTGCAAGTCCTGGGAGCTGGGGCTACTTCTGTTCTTGGTTGAGCTGGAGATGAAAGTCTGAGTGACTGCAGCAGTCAGGTCACCTGCCTGCTGACTGCACTCCAGAGCTATGCTTCGTAGCACAATCACTTTCTCTTTTGGTTGAATCACAGTAACGCTTCTGCTTCTCGCTTGCGTTAACAGATGATGCATTGTCGTGACATAAGCTTGTCTACTTGTGAACTATTTATTAGTAAATGCAGCTTTTTAGAAGTGTTTAAAGTTCCTTTGGGTTTTCAAGGGAAGTGATGGTTTTTTTTTTCAAGTCTCATTCAGTGAGAATAACATTTATAAACTGGTAGGTAGCCACAGGCCTCCTCTTTGATTATCTTCTGTAATTTTACATCTGTTTTGACTGTGGGTCTGTGTGGGTCAGGCTTGTGGTATTTATTGCAAGTGGTTTAACTTACTGCCTGCACTTGTCTGAAGTATTTGGGAGTGCTGGTGACACTGTGTTTTTCTGCAAGCGTTTTAACTCAGCGCCTGTAAGAAATGGAACAACTTTTTGCCCAGTCAGCATTCACGTGAACATCGCGTGTGTAGGAGCTGCAGCTGGTAGCGACTTCTGGCAGGGATGGGTCACCTGGACACTGCTGCCACTGAAGCTTCAGGGTGTGAAAGGAGGGGCCATGGGCACATGTCTTGGGAGAGCTTGAGACCTCTCTGGATGTGGGATCACGTTATGTGGTATAGCTGTCACTGAAAGACCATCCTCATGAGCAAGTTGTGTGAGAAGGGATGCCCTGAGCTGCTGCCTTCAGCTCCATCATAAACTGGGATTATGCAGGTGTGATCTACGTGCTCTGGACATCAGCATGTGCCTTTGGGGAAAAATCAGAGAAGTAGTGCAGCTCCTGAGGATCTCAAGAGGGAATTCTGGCCTCCCTTGAGTTAGTCCGTGGGAGGAAGGAAGAGGAGACAGCAATTTTGCGGGGGTATCCTCAGCCCCGCCTGTTGGCAAGGTTCATACGGTGATTTAGAAGAGAGCAAGCAGCACTTTGCTTGACAAATGGTATCTTGGAGAAAAAATCCTAACACCAGAATTTCTGAACTTGGGAAATATCCCAGAAGTAAGCCAGCATGAGTGTTTGTTTGTAGGGTTATCTACCAAGGTTATCTGCCTACTTCAGGTTCTGCACTGACAAGTGCCTTATTTCTTAAACGACCATTTAAAACCAGGACGTGTCTATGCCATGGCAAGCAAGCAAAGTGAAACGGCCAATCCTTTCTAGTAAGTTGTCTCAGGACCAGACCACACTGATGGTGACTTGTCTGGGGAGCGGCTCTCTCTGTTTCGCTTGGCACACGCAGTCAGAGTGGTCCCAGGTTTTCAAAGACTTGCATTTGTATTTAGCTGTAGGCATGCCAGAATTAATCAGCTTTATATATACACTTCCCAGGCATTACGCTTGCAATTTATTTTCATGCTGCTCCCGTGAATGGATGTGTTTTTTCATTAAGCTGCTTTCTGCTGTCATGCGGTCATTTGCAGAGCTCCCTGGGATGAGCTCGGACAATGCCAGGCTTTCCTGGGGGCCTCCCCAAGTACCTAGGACCATGTCTGATGTGGGAAGCCGTGTTGATTCCTACAGCTGGAGAGCTCGATGGAGCTCATCCAAGTCAAACTGCTGCGGTGCCGTTCTGTGTACTGGTACCGAAAGGGGCACGCCCATTGCAAGCACCCGCAGCCAGGAGAGCACTTGGTGCGGAAGAGAAGGTGCTCTGTTCCTGGAAGCCCAAGGCTTCCGAAACATAAGGTCAGCGCCTAACTTGTTGTACAAACATCCTTCTCCGATTAAATCCGGTGTGACATTTCTTCGAGTAATGTGGGTTTGGTGTCCTTCATTTAGGAAGAACAGATTTTGCATAGCAAGAGGAAGAGTAAACGTTTTGCAAGAAATATTTTGCTTCCTACCAAGGTCGCGTATTTTCAGTTATGCAAAGCATGTGCTTAAAATGGGAATCTCCAGTTGAGGATAGCTTTTAAATGCAGTAATCTTAGATCAGAAATCCTTGAGGTTTATTGCTTACAATTTCCTGTCTCTTTGAGGGCTGGGGGGGGAGGGGGGGAGGGTGGATAAAAGTGTTATGAAAAAAGTTTTATTTTGTTTTGTTTTTAAATCCAAACCAAGTCCTCTTTTGTTTGAGAACCTACAGTGAATTGAACTATTCTTCAACATGATGTTGTTTGCAGACATTTGACTTCATCTCAAAATTGAACAGAAAAGCTTGTGTTTGAGGGAACAGGTACTTGAAAGAGCCGTCCACTTTTCTGTGGCTCATCAACTGCCCCAAGGTTGGGAAACACCTGGAAAATAGCTTCTGCCTTATTTTCTACATGTTCCTTTATTTAATGCGTTTGAGGGGTACAAGTAGCAGAAAGCCCCTGCCTGTTTCTTCTGAAGTTATTTTTCTGTGTGGTAGAGTTGCCCTTAGGGTGTTCAGCATCATTAGGATATTGAGAAGTGCACAGCATTCACATGGCTGCCTGTGGGTGGAAGAGGTGCTGGTGTAGTCTAAGTACAGCAGTTAATGCACAGCAGATTGCTGGCAGGTTTATTTCATAATCTTTTTTCTTTCTTTCTTTTTTTTTTTTTTTTTTCTTCTGAATTTGCTGCTGCATGAAAATCCATTTACTAAAAACTCAGGGGAAGAAAACAGATTGATGTTGATAGATGAGCACATGTGCTGTCCTCAGTTTGACTTCACGTATGCTGCTGCAACAGTCAAGGTTCTAAAATTCTTTGAACTCATCTTTTAAAAGCACCTTCTAGAAGGCAGCAGAGGACTCGTATCATTTCCTCAGTACAGCTCAGTGGAACCCTTCGCAGGGGACCATGTTCAAGTTCATAGGCGACCCTTTTTCTTAAGGAACTGTTGTACAAAGGTCTGTCAAGTTGTTTGTGGCACCAAGCAGCTCCTCTGCCTCGTACATCCTGTGCTCACTCTGAAATAAATGAAGTCCCCTGACAAGTTCGTGTTCCTTCTTCCAAACTCCTTCAGCATAAGTGACATAACAAGATACGGTGATGGTGGCTCCTGGAAAGGTGATTTAAATGGCATACATTCACGTTGCTCTTAGTTGCAACGCTGGTGAAGTTTGCATAGCACTTTGGATTAGAGGATTGGGGAAATGAGGAAATTCCTCTGCCTGTGCAGGGGCTTGGTTTTACATATAGCTTTAAGCAAATACTTTGAACTGAGGGGCAGGGGGAGGAGAGGAATTGTATTTCATAGCTTCTGAAAATCAGCTGCATATTTCTGAACATAATTTCCCCATCTCTTTAAAAAGTTCAATAGGTTTTAAAACCAAGCTTTTTTCTTTTTTTCTTAAAAAAAAAAGGGGAAAAAGTCCCTTCTCTCTGTATTTGCATACGCAAATCAAACTGTTGAAGTTCTGCACTCTGAAATGCTTGAGATGAACGCACGTGTGTCTTGGCATGTGTATTGTGCATTTCAGTGAATTCCCTTCTGCTCTGCAGCCTCACTGCCGCCTCTCGGTTTTGGACTGCTCCCTCCCTTGTTGATTGGGGTAATGTTTCATTCCTCTTAGAGTCACAGAAAAGTGTCTCTTACTCCGGCTTTTTAAGTCAGTAGCTGAAGTAATGTATGACACAGTTCATCAGGGAGCACGGTTTGCTTTAAAAAAAAGAATCCTTGTGTCACAGGGATTTGAATCAGTGAGTAGGAAACTTTAATTTAAATAGTGGATTTTAATCTGGTTATCTACTTTTTATATTTCTTAAAGGAAAGTTGATTCTCAACAAGTAATTTGCTGTTAATGTTCCTTTCATGTTGAATTTATCATTCCATTCTGGAAGCCAAGTCACGCTTCCAAAGATTTTTTTCCAAGCTACAGTTATTCAGCGTGTTAATTTTTGTGCATTAGAAAGTAGCAACTAATGCACTTTTCATTTACTAGAGGCAGAACACAAACACCTAAATTTAGGCCTCTCTGTGTGGGTGTTGACGTACAATGTGGGCACTTATAAACTCCCATTATGGCCACTGAAGATGCAGCTAACTTGCACAGTCAAGCCTGGAGAGTGATTCAGCACACCCTGAAGTAGACACCTTCTGGCTGCTCAGACGAATTGCTCCCTCAGCCCTACTGCTTCTGCTGGCTACATCAGCTTTGGCTCTCATAGGAGCCTGTACACTGCGTGGAAAAATGTGACACATAGATGTCAGATGTCCAGTTTGGATTGTTTTGCTGGTGTATGGCTGGAGGTTCAGGGGAGTACTATTCTGTATGATCTTTGTCAAATTCTGCATGGATGGAAATTCAAATTCAGTTCAAAATATGCTAGGAAGGCCTCGCTTAATTGTATTATTGAACTACCTGATGAGTATTGCTTTTTGTTTTGTTTGTTTATTTTCCAATTAAAATCAAATTAGGAATCAAGGAAAGTGTTATTTGACTTAGCGAGCTGGTGGAGTTTTCTGTTCTTCTTAGATCTCATCTTCTTACCCTTTCTTTTTTAGCTCAGAACTCAGAAGAAAAATAAAAGCTCTCCTGTTTTGTCACTTTCCATTTAATTTCTTTAATGAGTTGGATAATTCAGAAAATTAAACTGCCAGTAATATTATTTCTGCACTATGGAAGGAGATACCCATGTCAGAAATGAGGTGAGCACATTTGCACAGTTTTGGCTGAGATGCCTAGCTAGTGATTCTCACTTGGATTCAGCAATCTGACTTGCCCTAGTCTTTGGAATCAAACATATTTTCTGTTCTTGGTTCAGCGCTGCCTTACAACTCATAATGTTCTTGGTAGATTACAGGAGAGTGCAGGTCTTAATATCAGTTGTTAGTTTTTAAATCAGTTTATTAAGAAGACATTTCAAGGGAAATGTTTTGACAAAGCTATGAATAAATTCTGCATCACTGTCTTGAAGAAGTAATGGTTTGGTGCTTTACTTCAGTGACATCTCAAGTGACTTTCCAGTTTAGCTGAACAGGATGTAGTGCTTGGGACGTCAGTGGAGAAATATGTGGCCTCTGTAGCAAAAACCACGTATGCTTTGTGGCTGCAGAGGTCTGCCCCTTTCTTTGGATTTGAGAGGAGTTGACTTGGAGCTAACTACTAACACCAAGAATGCCTCGTAGCTTTCCATGCCTAAGAAGAGATGGTGGCTGGTAGCTCACAGACCGATACTGCTGAGATTCCTCCTGGCACTCCAGGCATTTGTCACTGGGGCGTGCCAGGAGAATTCCTCACATTTCATCCAGTAGAAAGGGGACAGAAGTTGTAGTCCTTTATTATAAGGATGTGATCTGACTGTGCAGCTATGCAGCCCATGTGCTTGCGCTGTGACGGATCTTCCCATGTAGGAATGGAAGAACCTACCCATGTACTTGTGTGTAGTTTGGGTTTTGTTCTTGTTGTTGTTTTTTTTTTTCAATACAGGTCTTATAAGCATACGAAGTATTTCATGGTAGAATGTGCACTGTTGTGATTAGCAAGTGCTCTGTGAGTGCTGTGTAAAGGAGAAAGAAGCAGTTGCTATAATGAGTAGGGGCCTGGAGAACTTAGGAACTGTCTGCTCGTCATGCAGGTTGGCGATATGGTAGCAGCTGCTGACAAGAGCTTAGGTAAGGTAACTATTTAAATGTGGAAGTTGGATTGGTAAGATTGAGATCATTGGAAGCTCAAAAATTAGCCTGTAAGCAAATAGGTTTTTAAAGCATGTTCTGTTTAGGCAAGTTAAAATGAATGTGTGGAGTTGTCATCTGTACAAAACCATGACTGTGATGAATGCTGTGACTGGGATCTGAATGAACTGACAGTTTGATTGTGTTTTGTATGAGGGATCATCACCTGGAGTTAAAAACAGCAGCCAGTTTGCTTCCTTTAATCTGTGTTTATGTACCAACAGCGTAATTACTGCAGAAAAGGGCCAAGTCTTCTTACTCTTCCTGCAAGAGACAGTTGATGACTTAGTTATCCTCACCGTAAAAGCAGTGGGTGCTGACATCTGGTGCGGGATCCTTGGATGCTGCAATTTTTGGCTCGTACTTGATGCAGCAGAAGGAGGAGAAGCAGCAGTCCAGGTGCCTGCACAGCACGCTCCTGGCAGAGGAAGCACACGTGGTGTTACGTGATCCAGGGGTGCTGCCTGAGCCCCTGTCACCATGTGCAAGGCAGGGTCTCTATTAATAGAGCGAAGATCCAGGTGATTCCTGGCATTACGTGAGTGCTGGCTCCGGAGATTATGGGGCAGGTGCTGTGGTTTCAGGCAGTCAGTCCAATGGGACGTGTGTGATTGCAAGAGAAGTAGAACCTCAGCTACGACAATCTTGAGATTGTCTTTAAGCTAAAAAGACACATTAACATGGAGACATACTATGATGAAGAGAGTTTGGGTTTTATGTGCAAGCTAATTAGACTAATTTCTGAGTAGCACAGAGCTTATGTGCGTATTTGGTGCGTAGTTGCCACTTCTCAGTATTTTATTAAACTCCTGGTGTGGGGGCTTGGGGATTAGCTGATATTAGTCAGGCACATGAGACATAAACCCAGCACATCAGAACTTGTTTCCCATGGAGGTCGGTAGTGCATGCTGCCAGTACTGTTAGGTGTAGCATATTGTAACTGGGGGGTCAATCACTGCATCAGTTGTCACCCAGGCTTCACTTTTAGAGGTGCTATAATGGCAAAAAGATGTCCAGTGGAAAGGTTTTAAGAAGGAGGTCTGTGTTTAAGCATTTCTTTCTGATAAGGCTGTATCACAGCTGTAGGGTAGAAGAAAAAAAAAGGATGCTGTCAGCTATGTTGACTCTAAAAGTCATTAATGGCAACTTAGAAAATTCTGTGATAAGTTCACTGAGGCTGTGATTTGCATTGTAGGCATTTCAGGGCAGTGTAAGAAAAAAAATAATAAAGTGCATTATTTGCAGTTTCCCTCCCCATAAGTTACATGATACATGGTTTCAGAATTGTAAAGGGAGTAACAGAAGCAGTTATTCAGGAGTCAGGCAGTGAAGAAATTAGTGCACAGAGGGTGAAGCATGAATGCTACATGCAGTTACCAATAGGTAGGTCCATACTGCTCAGTATCCACAGTCATTACCATCATTTCCAAAGGGCTGCAGTAACAAAAAGAAGGTTCTGATTTTGGTTACAGCTTGGTTCATTGTTAATTTTCATTAGCTTGTTAGGCTGTGTTGCTGTTTCCAGCTGTTGTGGTCTTTACTGTATGACCAAACTATTTCTGCAGCTGTGCTTCCAAACGAATTAGCATTAGATTCCTCTTCATTTCTAATTTCCATAAAATAGCTTCTTCTGTTTCATACGGTCCTCTCTACTTGCATCCAAGTAGAGGGGAAACAGGGAAACCTTGAACTTGGAGAACTTGTGGGACCTTTAAGGATAAACTGAACAGGAACATTAACTTGTTCAACAGCAAAGGCAGTCTGAATATTGAGGCATCTGGTTAGATCGTTGTCTTTGGGTGGTAGGTTACTCTCATCTTTGCCACCTATACACTAAACATAACATCCAAACAGTTTCTCAGCTCTTTTATTTTAGTTATATGATAGCACATAGTTAAAAACGAGAACTGAGGGTCCTGGCTATTTTCAATTACTTGTATCTTTGCCAAAATATAATAATTAGGACTTAAATTTTCCATTTTAGGTATCTACCTCAAGCTCACATTTCTTCTTGGGAACAGGAGGAGAAAGAAAAGCAGAGAGAAATTTTTATTTAAAATTCTGGAAAAGGTTTCAGAGAACCTAACAAAAACAAGTTTCTAGCAATCTTCTACTCTGGAAACTAGATCACACCTGTTTCACATCAGATGCTTGAAATTAATACCAGGTGGCTGTGTCTGCCGGGTAATGTCCCAGGTGAAAATTTGTCCAAATTAACCAAAGCTACAACCTTTTGGAAGTCTGTTTGCACATGTGCAGTAGAAGGACATTTGAATTTAGTAGCTGTGGCCTCTGAGGTCTTTTGATCTTCCCTGGGAATGATTCAGCCCATGTCCTAAATACTGACCCACGTTATGGGCTCACATTTATGTTTCCTACCCCCAGCCTGAATATAAAGAGCAGGGATTCAACAGAACTTGCACTGGATATTGGACAACTGTGTCATTATGATCTTTGTCCATACCTCTGGGATCTAAAGAGGGAACAAGGAACATGGCAGTAAAGTGGAGGTAGGTTTTGGCTGGACAGTAAAGGGCAGCCCTGGAATCTTGCCTGAACGGGCTGTGTTTGCTTGGTTGCAGAGCTCTGCAGAGAGCCGCAGGTGAAGTCCGTTCTCTTTGCGGTACACAGAGATCCTCGCAAGGTCACACAGTGACAGGACTGGAGGGAAGGGGCTGAGCTTCTCCAGGGGGAGCTGAGTCTAGGTATAAGAAAAAAAATGTCTTTACAGTGAGAAGCAAATGTTGGAAGTGGTGGAATTCCCTGCCCTGGAAGTGGTTTGGGACCAAGCCTGAAGGGGCCTTGGGTAGCCTGTTTGAAGGACCTGCTTTCAACACCAGGTTAGATGATAATTTCCAGAGGCTTCTTCCAGCTCTGGGTTGTCTAAAATTCTGTGGTCTGTAGGTAAAAAATGGTGAGGAGGGCAAAGGGGGGAGGATTTTGCTCCAGTGATTCATGACAGAAGCACTATTGTTCCAAGTAATGAAAGGTGTTTCCTTGTTATACAATGTCTGCTATGGCTGTGGCATTTTTTTTATTATTTTTTTCCCCAGAGGCCTTAGCCTCTGAACTGTGTTATAGGATGGTTTTTGTGAAATGTATTTTTTCCCCTCAGTCTTGTGTTGTGTTCTTGTAGTTGGATTCGGAGGCATAAATGTCTAGTTCCTGGGTGTCTGCTTTGTCACAGAGTGTGTGTATTTTTCATTCGGAACTTGTTTTAATTTTTACAAAGGAAAGTCCAGAAAGATAGGCTACGCGTCCTATTCCTTGAAAATATTGTGCAATAGTATCTCTGACAGCAGTTTTTCAAGGTGTGAGAGGAAGGATTTTCAAATGCTTGGCTTTACCTCTTTGAAACATGCTGTGATTTCAAGGGAGAGGCAGAAATTGCCCCAAACTGTCAGCTTCTCAAAAATCTCATCTGTGGTCTCTTTTTAAACACCAATTCTGTTTATACACAAAAAATCTTTGGTCAGTGTAACTAAAAGCAGGTTTGCAAGTAGTGGGTGATAAATTTAAGTTACTAGAACAAAGGTAAGCTCTTGGATCAGCAAGTAGTCCCACAGGTCTCAGCTCCTAACAGTTTGCTAACTGAGGAACTGTTCTGGGTAGGGGCAGTGTGTGGTCTGATCCACTTCCCTTCCCCTGACACTGGCTGCTGCCAAATGGCTTGGATTTTCCCAGCCTGAATAATTCAGTTGCTTGAAAACCGGTGTGCCTGCTACCAAAGCATTGCCCTCATTGTGGGGACTGAACTGGTTGTACAAATATAACGTATCCTACGCACTGGAGGCATCAACAGAAACTTGGATAAAGCATTTCGGAGAGCTTTTGGCTTACTAGCAGCACCATTTTGGTTTAAAAAAATAAATTAAAAAACAAAACAAAACAAAACAACAAAACACATCTCTAGCTGAAATAGCTCATTTTTGGAGTTCTACTTGAGAAAAAGGCTTTGGGAAGCCTTCAAAAGCCCTCATCTTTGAAGGTGAACTGTATTGTAGGGTACTTTGCTGTTGATGGTGAGAATTCCACAGTGAAAAGTGACCCTAAAAGAACCCGAAGTTTTCCATAACAGAGCACACTGGCCTTTCCAAAGGGACTCCGCAGGAACAGGAGGTTGAGCAGCTCAAGACCACAGGTTGGCAGATGGAAAAGCCGACAGCTCCAGAATAACAATGGTAAACAGCACATTGCTCAGACTGTTAATACTTCTGGCTGCAAGAGATTATTCACTGGGAATAATTCTGCAAGCATAACTTTGGCTACTTTTATTGCCATCCAGCTGAAAAGTTTGCCCAGAGCCTCCTTAGCTTACCTTGAGCAGCGTTGTGCTTTTGCTGAAGTTAACATGTAGGTGGATCATAGATCCAGGATAAATGGCTGGCTGGGTAGTTCAGCATGTCTTTGGCCGTCATGTTGTTTTCCTCACCATCATCAAAGTAATCATCTGTTGTTAATCCCCCAAATTTGAACCTGTGACTTCCCAGGGACCCGAAGCCTTGTGTTGATTTTGATTTGCAGCCCTATTACAGACAAATTAATGTACATGAGTGACAGCATGCCAGAGAGAGACGAGAAGAAAATGAGTAATTAACATATATTGGGTATTACTGATTGCTTTTATGATTATCTGGATTTTGAGGTATTAGCTGGAAAAATAACTCCTAATCCCTTATTAAAGATAAAAGGCAAGTCATTAAAAGTAGAAGGTTGTTTTCAGTCCTGAGAAGCCCTGGAAATATGTCTTGGCTCCAGCAGCAAACTAACCTTAAAAGCCTGTAATTCCAAGTTACTCAGCTTAGTTGTTCTCCTCAGCAAGGGAATTTCTGAAGTTTCCCATGTGCCGGGAAGCGGAGGGGGCTGCGAGACAAAGCGACCCTTGTCATACCAACCAGGCGCTTGGCGCTGGGACAGGAGCCTTTGAATATCTGTATTAGCTGAGCCCTGCCCAGCTGCTGGGCCGTGAACTTTCAGCAGCACAAGCTGAGGTCACTTAACCGCGCAGCGCATCTCGAGTGGGAGCTGCTGGGTGGTTTTTACCTCGGGCTGATCCCGCACCGTGTTTCCAGCGGTGACACATCTCCTGTGAGAAGCTCCCAGCACACCTCCGCTCTTTCCCTTTCTCTGTTCCCGATAGCAGTGCCCACCAGCTGGGTGGTTTTACGGCTGGGTGCTAAACTCAATCCGCAGAACGGGCCGGTCTGAATGCAAACCACAAATCCCAGCAGGGAAGGGGCAACGAGTGGCTGAAGCGCTGGGAGCAAGGAAGCATTAAATCTCACGGAAGGGAAACGTTGCCATGTTATTTTTCTTAAACCCACCCTGTGCGTGTGCCTGCTCCTGGGGTTAGAAGGAAAGCAGCAGCACCCCTTGCTGATTTATAATAATTAATGATTTGCAGAAACTTGCCACACACCAAGTGTTGCTGTGTAATCCAGTCCTTTTTTAAAAAAAACAAACTAGGTTTCTTATTTCTGGATAATGAAATTTGAGCGACAGGAAAGCTACTGGGTTTTAACTTCAATTCCCCTATTTTATCAGCTTGATGTTTCAACTCATCTTGTTTACATACTTCTAATTTCAAAAGCTATTGAAAATTCAGCGGGACACATTAAAAAGAAATGAAAATAACATGAAACAACTTTAAGGAGATCAATAGATGTACAGCAGTTTTCATTTGAGGAAATGTTTGTCCACCAAACTGTTTTGGTAGAATAAGTTTGCTAGCACCTGGCTTTATTTTTCTCTTTTTTTTTTCTTCTTTTCTTCTTTTTTCTTTAAGTCCTGAATTCCAACTGTGCTGCTGCGCACCCAGTGCTTTTGCAGAGGAGACCACTTTTTTGTACTTGAGGGTGGATTGAGAAGGTACAGGTGGAGTTTTATGCCGTGTTTAGGTGGTCGAGCTCTGTTCCCTGAGTGCAGAGAGAGCAGGTGATGGGCTTCTGGCAGCCGTAGCCACTTGGGGCTAGAAACTCTTTCTGGGGGGACTGTGTAAAGTGCACCCTGATGTCTGGGCATGTGCAGGTTGGTTGGTTACAGGGTGCAGATCATATAAAAGTTTTCCGAGACCTCTTTCTGCACCCTCTGCTGCTCTTGTTGTATGCACCTCCAGACTAAGAGTCCAGTGTCTGTAAAAGCTGAAGGTTTTTATTGAGTGTTTTGTTTTGCAGTGTTGTGTGTTTACGTTTCCTAGCACATGTGTTAAGGACATTCAGTCTGTAACGTCTTTGTTTCTGTAGAGAAAATACTGAAAGAGAGGATGGAACAAAACCAAGCTCGCAGAAGAAGGTTGTTAGTGCTGAAGACTCAGGTCATGCTGAGAAGAAATCTCTCTTTACAAAGATGTGTCTAGAGTCCACGTTTTCATGCCAAACTCTTCCTTGGTTCTCTTGGACACAAAACATGTTGCATGTGTTGTTTTGCGGTCGTTTTTTTGTTTTCCTGTGGCTGATCTTGAGGGACAGCATGTGGAGTCAGACCGGTGGTGCTGGGGCAGCTCTTGATGTTTCCAAAGAGGTAGTTAGCCTAAAGTGTCCTGAAAAACATCTTCGGTTGAGTTCAGGATGTAGTATCTCCTCCAGTGAAGATGTATCTGATAAAGGTCACTTCAATTTTCAATGAGAATGGCCATACAAGAAATTGACGTTATTTCTCTAATTCACTTTAAACCCAAGCCTCCAGTCAGTTGGGTTTAATTGCTGCTGCTGTCTCTGTTTAGATGACTTCTGTATGTCTGTGCAGTAACCAGAATAATTTGGGTGTGGACCCTGAATGAAACATTTTGGGGCTGTGTCATAATAATAGCTCCATCTCACTATGAGCCAAAGAAGTTGGAGATGAGGCACTGGGTGAGAAGAAGCCATGGGAACACTTTCCATGGAAAAGATAGCAAGTAAATTTACCAAGTTGGATGCATTTGTGTGCAAATGCTTCTAATATACAAACTTGGCTCTATGTTGCTACAATTTCTGATCTCAACTTCCATCCAGACCGAGATGTCAAATAGATCATTAAAAACAGCGTGGAGTTTCCAGTCGCTTTTCATTACTAAAAGTTCTTCTGAAAACCTGGCAAAGCACTCGTGTTTGGGCAGCAGATGTGATAACTGGACTGGAGATTAGCTGGATGTGGAGTTCACTAATGGAACAGAACAAATTAGGTTGGAAGGCACCTGTGGAGGTCATCTGGTCCAAACCTCTGCTCCAAGCAGGGCCAACTTGGTAATTACGTTATTAATGTTGGTTTCAAAGTTAGGATATAATGCCCAAAGTGCTGTTTCATTAGATAAAAGTGAAGGCAGAATAGAGCCCCAAGGAGTCACACTGCCGTATTTCTCACAAGTCACTCTGGTCTGTTTGGATGCCTCGGGGCTGACCGTGCTCTGAGCAGAGAACAGTTACATGTCCTTGGGAGCCCTTTCAGCACCAAAATGATTCTTTCTCCGATACAGTATTGGGATGTGGCCTGGATGTTCTCTTTTCAGGACACTTGGAAATCTGGGTACTTGCTGCTGGTTGTCTAGGGAGGGCCCAGGCTCTCCAAATCCTTTTTTGCCATATGCTAGAGAGCCTTCTGATGTGCCTGGGGTGGATAAAGGCTTTGCTGTTAGCTAAACAGTGTGCACCAAGTCACTGGTGTGAGTAGGGAAGCTGGGATTCAACTCCCTGTTACGGCAGCCAGACTTATATGTGGGACGTTGCGTGGATGTGTTACAGCATCTGTGTGAGACCTGGGCACCTTGCTTCATGGAGAAAACTCCAAAAGCTTCCCAACTGCTTCTGCTGTCCAGAAATTTAGCAGCATTGAGCAGTGTGCTGATAACTGCGGTAACATCACGATTCAGAAAAGGCTGATGTCCAGTGATGGCAGTGTTGAGTGGATGTTAATATTGCCAGGATAGCCACGGTGTTAAGTCTTGTGCTCTGCTCTGCAGTCCTGTGTGCATTGCTGGTGTGCTGTGGAAGGAGGTCCAAGGTCTGATCCAAACCCTACTACAAACCATAGGACTTGTGTCTCCTTAATTCTTGTACAAAACCAAGTAAAACTTGGAGAAAATAATTCACTCTAGCCTTCTGCAGAAATGTTCACGGACAAGATGGGTTAGCCAGTCTGTACCTCTCTGGGAAGCATCCCTCTGGATCCTTCTTGTGATGTTCGCTTCATCTGTTTTGCCTGGAGTGTGTTTAAAACAACTTCCCTGTTGGGTTCTTCATGCCAAGTGCAAGGAACTGCATCTTTTCTCTCTCTCCTCCTATGGTTTCATCTACACTTCACACGCACATGCTGTAAGCAATGAGGTTAGTACATGAGTAGTCCTGTTGTATCCTATCCTCATAAGTAGAACAAAGGAGACGTTGTGATCCTGTAAAATAAACCATTCCCTTGCGACTTGCCTGCTGTGGGGCTAAACATGGGGTTGACCATGAGGAAGGTCAATGCTTATGCAAAAATCACCCCCGTGCATTTTGCTAATTACAAGCAGCTGTTCTGTTCGGTCCAAGCCATCCTCAAACTGACCTCCTACTTGTTTTTTCCTCCCAACTGTCTAATAATTAACAAACTGCTTAATGCACGACAAAAGACCAATTAACCCTAAAGCATTTAGTGAACTACATGTAAATTAGTTGTAAAATGTTGCTGTAAACATTAAATGTTAGGCAATTACATAAAACAATAATTGATACAGTTGCATTTAGGAGCTTAAAAGAAAAAAAAATCTGCTTAAATAGTGCTTGGGTTCTGAGAACTCTGCTAATGGGTTTGTTTTTAACTGCAGCAGCCCCAGTCTGTGTAAGTCCGAACAGGCTGTGGCAGCTCACATTCGCTCTGCTTTTAGTCGTGGCAGAAAAATAAAGGCATGCTAACCTTGTGCACTTTTTGAAACCACAATGTGGGTGAACAGCAGTAGAAAATCTCCAAAGGGCAGTACCTGGCATCTAGAAAAAAAAGGAAATTGGATAAAATAATGAGATTTTTTTTTTTTCTGGTGGGCTTGGTGGGATCCAGTGGTAAAGTGTGCTAGATTAGCTGGGTTGATTATAGTGTTTTCAGGTTCGTGCTGTACAAAATGTTCCAGAGCTTACTAAAACCCCAGTGTTGGTCAGGGTCCTGCTAGGATGAGCACCAGGTGTTTCGTCATTTATTGCTGATAAGTTTGTCTGTGTCTTCCTGTTTCTGCACTTTCATACCCTAACTGCCTCACATTTTAGCTTCTGAAAAATCATCTTTCCACTCACTGATGCGGTCAAGTTTCACACGAAGAAGCTGTTTTGCTTTTCTGCAAAATCTTTAATCCTCTTAATTGGCTCTCTCACTCCACAGTGGTCCCCTTGAACCACCAGTTCCCAAGCTCCTGTTGCTAATATTCTTAAATAATTCATTTTCCTTCCTTGTCTTATGTACTAGTTTTTCAGTTTGTTTGGGTCTTTGTTATATGTCATGTTTGCCAGTTCTGCTTTGACCTAAGCTTAGGTAGAACTGACATATTCCTAAATCAGAGAATCATTGAAGTTGGAAAACACCTCGGAGGTCACCTGGTCCAACCATCCCCCTGACACCAATATCACCCACTAAATCATGTCCCTAAGCACCACGGTGCAGTGAAGTAGGGCTTTGATACCTTATTCTCTGTAGTTGCCCTGCCTTACTGCTGTGATGTTTGCTGCATGTATATCTCCATGTTGCTTGCTTAGAATTCTATTCCAAATTTTTCCCCTTTCACTGAAAAACATTAGGTGTGTTTGAACTAGCTCTCTCTCTTCCTCGGTTTTGGCAGTATCCTTTTCCTGAGCATATTGATCTTAATTACAGTACAGTCACTTGCTGAAAGCTGGCCCGTGCTTAGTTTTACTGTGTAAATACTTCGGATAACGGACTATTATTTTTCTCACACACAGTTCTAGTATAATTCCTAGTTATATTCCATTCCCAAAAGTGGAAAAATCTTTTACCTGCATTTGGCTGATTTAATTACAGAACCATGCTTAAAGCAGTAAAACTACTTTCCAGGGTAGGTGAGTCCTTAGCAAATCTACTGAAGTTACTGGCTTGCCAGAGTCAGTTTTCCTTCTTGCACTTTGGAGTTAGATGAGAAGAGCTCTTTCCTCTTCGGTGCGGTAGACGCCAAGGCTAACCACAAAATCTGGCCAGTTGACTTTCAGCCAAGGAAGGGTATGCATTGCTAGCCTGAAATCATTTTTCATTAACATTTTGTCGGCCTTTTTTTTTGTTTGTTTGTTTCACAAGCTTCCTTTTTTTAATCTCAATTTTTCTTCCTTTCTCCAACATTTGCTTTATGCTGTTGCCATTTGCTGAAATGCCTGCTGTGTGGTACCCTGCCGCTGGACATCCCTTCCTCTCGCTAATGAGAGATCATCTGCCATTTGGGGGCTTATGTATAATGGATCAAAATACATACCTCCGTGCTACTC